TTGGTGGTGCTTCCAAGACAAGATTATCGCGTCCCGACAGGATTTATAATGTCAAACAAGTTTAATAATTGTCTCTGATAGTTTTATCATCTGTAAGACAGACCGTCATCATCCAATCAGATTCATTTTCCTTTCAATTACATGATCTTCACATGATTATTGACATAGTGGATAACGACCCAATGGAGATTTTTGTCTACCCATGTGCACTTGCCGGTCGTTGAAACTCAAGACCAGACTTTAATTGGCAGCAAAAGTCTCCCACCAAGAATACTCGAATCTAGAGTAAAATCTCACATGAGCCAGTACTTCCAAGAAAAGATTATCGCGTCCCTGACAGGATTTATAATATCAAACAAGTTTGATAATTGTCTCTGATAGTTTTATCATCTGTAAGACAGACCGTCATCATCCAATCAGATTCATTTTCCTTTCAATTACATGATCTTCACATGATTATCAACAATGTGGAAAACGACCGACTGGAGATTTTTGTCTACTCGTGTGCCTGCAGCCAGTTGTTGAAACTCAAGACCAGGCTTTAATTAGTGGCAAAAAGTCCAAGATCAAGACTGCTCCTTGCTTGCACTGTAAGACTAACAGTACTTTTTTGAGGTTGATATTCCAATTCAAAAAAACTTTTTACTTTGCTCAGACAATAATAACTTGTTCTCTGAAAATGTTTAAAAAGTATCACAAATTCAAGGTATACCAGAGTTTTTAAGTCACAAGGTGTCCTAGAAGTTTGAGAATGCTTTTGAGTTACTAGCCGAACTTCAAGTGACGTAAATTTGAGCTGGTAAAACTTTATCGGCGTATCCAATTTTCAATGCTATTAAGGATAATCCTACATCTTTTTCCTATAGAAAAACTTCCAACTTTCAGAGCCGTGGTTAATTAGTGCTCAACAGATCTTTTTTCCAATTGTGTTTTCAATATAGTGAAAGGGACAATACATCAAAGACACACCAAACATTTTGGGACAAATGGTTTAGACATAAAACAACATTTTTTCAATGATCACGAATAACATATTTAAAGATATAGAAAAAAACAACATCGTGAAACGTAACATCTGTGATGGCTTAAGTTTACTTGTGAGAAGATATTGTGCAAAATAGTGCGACATTTACGTACATCAGTACAACATTTACATGTGCAATAGGCATTTGACAAATATTATATACAAAATGGCCTTGGAATACCTCAGTTGGTTTCCTTAGCGAGTTGGAGTCTGCTAGGACAGTGGAATAGCTCAGTCAGTAGCAAGTTGGATTGTCATCTGCTAGGACAGTGGAATAGCTCAGTCAGTAGCGAGTTGGATTGTCGTCTGATAGGACAGTGGAATAGCTCAGTCAGTAGCGAGTTGGATTCTCCTCTGCTAGGACAGTGGAATAGATCAGTCAGTAATGAGTTAGATTGTCGTCTGCTAGGGCAGTGGAATAACTCAGTCAGTAGCGAGTTGGATTGTCGTCTGCTAGGACAGTAGAATAGCTCAGTCAGTAGTGAGTTGGATTGTTGTCTG